GCAAAAGACGCTAAAGTAGATGGTTTGGAGCAGCGAATACATCTCATTTTTAAAATCAGTAAAGTTATGGTTTTCTGCTAAATTCGTTCATTTGTTTAGATACTCAAAAAAGCATAATAATAGCGTATTTGAACAGAAGCACTGGACTAACTCTATTAGGTTGAGTTAGCATTCCCTGCGTCCCCGTATCTTCTTCCAATTGCAATAACGCCACAAACTCGCTAATCGCGTCTCGTTGCTTACTGCTGGATTCAGCAAATTTTGAGATCTTCTCCAGAGCGACACGAACAGGTCCAATGTCGCTATCAGATACTCCCTCTGACAGCTGCCATTCGACCATTCGAGTGAGTATCTTAATATGCAAGCATTTTTTTCGGAACTATTTTACTTGCTCTAATGTAAGCCTCGAGAGCAAAATCGCAAATTTATAACAAAAAATGGATGATGTGATCAAACGTACCGGTCGCCACGCAATTATTCGATGAAGTATTTTCAATAGTATCCAGTTAAGCGCTATATAGCACTGACCTGATTCCTCGAGCTTACTGAAAGCATCTACCATTTTTTGGGAACTATAGCGAGAGAATTGTGCTGTTACCTGATAGCAGCCCGAAATCCCGGATTACTTTTAGCTAATTGGTCAAGTGCAGCAATGTAGATTGGATACTGTTCCAATAACGCGGAGTAAATTGGCAGAACATTATGAGTTATGCAAAGCAAACGTTCCGCAAGTTGTGATGCATTTCTGGAATGCAAATGAATAGTTTTTGAGGTCGTTCTTGAACATGAATTACTGTAAAGAGGAGGAAAATTGAAACATTTTCTTTTGGGGACAAATAGTAGGGCTTTTTATCATGTCTGGTATCATAATAAGTACATATACAAGTCAAGTCCATTGTTATCTAAACGCAAACAATTAGATCCGTTTGAAATCTTTCTGGAGGCCAACAAAAAAGACGAAAATGTTTATAAGAGCTAAATCAGATGCAATGATTCAGAACTCCGTTCTTTTTTGCTAATTTTGTGACTGAAAAGAAAAGCACTAACTCTATGCTATTCAGCTCTTGCAAGAATGCAGCCTGCGCATCTTTAAGCTCTTTGAGTTTCTTCGATAACTGCACAACTACCGCAGAGCTCTCCAATAATGGTTCTATCAGACGCGGTAAGTTCTGAAATAATATATTATAAATCGGGGAAGAACTAAAAAGCACTACTTTAAACGAAGGGGGAACAGATAGAATAGAGAAATTCATCAAGTGTCAAAGACTAGATACACGAGAATATATGTAATAGAGCGGATTTTCACATTGGGAAAAAAATATTTGTAAACAGAAGCTCCACCTCACAGACAAGACGGAAATCCCTAGCAGCGCTTCTTTCGTGGTCCAGAAGGTCCTCAAGGATGTAGTTGTACATATCGCAATGCAATACCTAATTTTTTCATAATTCATAATTTGTTACTAGCATCACTTCTACTTTTATCAGCCAAAAGGCAATGATTTACCTCTTTGGTGAGTCCTGGAATATCGTCGCTATCAACACAAGCGAGGGACCACTCAGGCCATGCTTCCGAACCTAACCTACTGTTAACAGTTGTAGTTGACCTTGGACTTTTTGTAGTGTCCAAGGAGTTTTGCGACGATTTCGTTGTTCTTGGAAACTCTGAATAAAACATCAGCGTCCTCTTTCTTTACCTTAATGCCCATATTGTTAAATGCGAGAGCCTTTGATTATGCTCACCTTTTGAGTAAATTGTCCCACCAATGGATTCGCTACCGCTCTCGCTTGAATCGCTCCTATCAAATCGTTGCGAAAGGTGTGAAGTCAAACTTGTACTTGTACCCGTCCTAGAAGTTTTTGAAGTAGTTTATGAAATGTGCCTTAGAGTGTTTGATCCAATTCTAACGAGGGTAGGGGACTATTTAACATCAATGCACTTAAGAGTGTAAGTTTTAGCAGGAACTGAAGCACCATGATTAGCGTGAAGATTTTCAGGTTAGGCTGACAGACAACTTAAGAAATTCTAATGAGGAGAAATTGGCGTTTTCATTCTGTAAGAAAAATGAAAATAGAACGGTTGTCTGTTTTTGC